CTCAATTCTTGAATCAAATATTTTCATATGATATCTTTAAATGTCGAATTTTTATTATCTTTTTAAATGTGAACTTTCTTATTTTTCAGCCAAAAAATCAAGATCAAGCCTTATTGGCGTTAATTTGCGTTTAAATACAGTCTATAATTCTCAAAATAGCCTTGCCATAATATAATTAGTTTATTTTTATTCATCCATCTGTGGACATTCTAATATTCGTAAATGCCATGCTTGAAGACTTACATTCCGGTAAAACACCTTTCTAGTTACTACATGAATATTTATCTATACAGGCAATAAGTCTCCTTAAATAATTTTTCCGAGCACATAAGTTATTTTTAGTGAGTAGCCTCCATCTTTATAATTGCCTTAATGCGCGTATTTTAGGTTTAGTGTGGATATGCTACATGTTTAAATAAGAATTGGTGGTATTGACTGAAAGCGGACTGTTACTTATTTTGTTTCTCTTCTGTAACTGGCTTCATTCTCTCGTTACAAGTTTGATAGTATGCTATAAATAATTTTCAGTTGATGTTTTACTCTTATCTTATTCAATGTTTTCATATTTATTAACAACAACAGTCTCCGATCGAAGCACTGGAAGCTCTTATATAATTTTGTTCTATTCTAGGTATAGACTGATAAAATATTAATGCATAATTTAGGTTCCTTTTATTTTCTAAGAGTATTTTGCCATTGTTTTTTCTTTCTCAAGTTGATTTGTGCCCCAAGGTTGATTCTATTACCGTAAACTCGTCTAGCGATGCTGACTTTCTTCAAGTTCTCCCTCGTTCTCAACCGGAATCACTTTCATCCTTGAAATCGGTGCCTATCCATACACTTCTTTCGCCCACCTCTTGTTTAGCTCCTCAAGTTTGTATTAGCTATCGAGATCCTGTCGCCTTAGATAAGGCCGGTGAGTGTCTAGCCTTCCTCGTGCGTGACCCAGCTCATATTATGCCCGACAACTTTGAGGTAAGACTCAACTTTCCCTTTGAGATTATTTTGCTTATTTGCGCCTTTTGATGTTAGCATTTACCCGGTTCGAATGATGATTATTTGACTAAGAGTGAATCTGCTGATCATGAATCGGGCCTAAGGCTTATTTTTTGCATTTTATATAGCTATGTTATACATCCATAAAAGTCGTTCTTATCCATGCTTGGGTGCATTTTTGCGTTTTATCACATACTAAATTGGACTCGAGGCCTGGAGACAGGATTATTATTAATTGAGTTACACGATGAATTAGACTTTAAGGGCAAAACAAATCTCCCTCAATTTTACCCGTAGTTAAATTGTTTTATCGATTGGTAGTGGTGTGTTTGCATTAATTGTTATACTTTATAGTTTTCATTATACATGTCAGGAGCCTGATTATTTAATTAACTTCCA